ATTAATTTGTAAGTCATAAACTAACGGTAGGACCAGAAAATTTAAGGGTATAGACCGCGCGAAATGCGCAACACCATGGATCCCGTTTGTGTGACGTAGTAAAAATGATTTTGGGAACAAAAAAGATCTAAGCAGTGTGGGAACAAAGATGTTCTCAGGAGACACCAGCTTCTTATTCAGTTTGCTTTCTGATTTCCTCCATCTTACTTTAGTTTGCAAATGCTGGTGGCTGGATACATACTGCTGGGAGAAAACACAAGGTTGAAAATGTGGTCTGTTGAGTAAATGTCAATGCATTGATTTTGTGGAAATGATGAGGGCAACCAAGTGATTCTCATGTGGTAATACCAACTTGATTTGTTCTGATATTGTTCAATCTATAAAAATTGTTTAATATAAATTTTTGCAGCATTGTGATTGATGCCTTTTCCATTTGTTAGATGAAGAGGAAGGAAAAGAATTGAAGAAGCTCATATAAAGGCAATTTGCCTGATTTGAAGTACCATAGACACATGATAAATCATCTTTTCAGAACTGTTTATGCCTTTGCTCTCAAATCTCCTCATAATGTCACTCAAAATTCAAAAGGAGAGTGAGAACTTAAAGATTATGTACAATTACTGCTACTACTATTAGTAGTAGTAATACTAGTAATTGGTTTTATAGATCTGTACAAACTACAAGTTGTACTAGTAACAGTTCTTGTACACAGCACTAAATATTCTCCTCAGTATCCTGTTAGATTGATTTGTCAAGTTGCTGCAATGGTGGATGGCTTTTTATTCCTCTCTTCCCCCTAGGTAGTAATGGAAATTATTCTATTTGTGCTTGTACTACTAGTACTAGCACTAGTAGTGGTAGTATAATATTAGTAGTAGTAGCAACAACAAAAATACTACTAGGAGTGGTGCTACTAATGCACTCCCCACATTCCCCCCTAGATCAATCTGGAAGTCCTCTTGGCTGGGATTGTGGTAGTAACTTCTTTCTTTATACTAAATACTTATTGTGACCACCAACAAACCACTCATTACAAGCTTGTTTGGATTACTACTAGTAGGTAGCTACTACCATTCCACGCATTGCATTTCATCATGTCCAACAACTTCTTTGACAGCATTCATGTCACTAGAGAGGATGTCACCATCATGACATCCCCTTTGTAGTTCTTCCAAATTATGAGCCGCACTACCCTTCTTTTGATGGTAGTATCTTCCAGAATGGATCAGGGAGGTTCTCTAGTACTACTACTAGTAGTAGTACTGCTGTCTTCTAATTCTGACAAGAAAATATCAGCTACTACTAGCTGTACTACTATGTGAAGTAGTAGTGGAACCTTTGATGCTTTAACAATGACATCAAGAGGGCTTTCCCCTATCAACTCAGGAGTGCTTCTTTTGTTGCACCCCTCTGACCTTTCTTGAGCAAGATTTCTTACTACTACTGCTGCTACTGCTGCTGCT